TAATAAAAATATGAATTTTGTAAACGTGATTACGATGTAATACTGACAGGCCACATAGTTGTTACTGCTGAGCAAAACTCAATGGTCAAAATATCCTGCAATATAGAAACACATAAGAAAAAAAAAAAAAAAAATGTCATAGATTACAACATTTATTTTATTAGATTTACTTGACAATAATAATATAAACCCTCATTTTAACCCATACAGGTACTTATTATAGGTTAGTATAGGTAATTATTGAATGAAAATAAAGATAGGTACCCTGAATCATTGCCTGAAAATACAGTTGATCAAATTCATTTGCTCAAAAATTTTAAAAAATCATAAAAAAGTTAAAAGTAACATAACATATTTTATGAAAAAAAATACAAAACTGTCAAATTTATACTACATTTTAGATTCTGAGCGGAGCGATGAATATATTGATTTTACAATGTGTGTTTTTTTAGTGTGTGTGTGTAGTGTGTACACAATAAATTGTCGAAATAATGCTTYGACTTTCAACTTTAGTAGCTTTTCTGGTTGGAAAGTGGATCAAGTTGATGCATTGGAGAGGCCAAAGTTTGAAATTCCCTGTAGTTTTCAAAAGCACCGCGGGAAAAACAAAAAAAAAATTAAGAAAAAATGGGAATTGCACACAATATCAGTTTTTGAGAAAATTGATTTTAGATATTGGTGTAACTCTAAAGCAAATTACCGTAGACACATAACATTTTATTAAATGTTTATATTGGCATTTCCTATAMTTGATAACATTTTCAAAATATTTCAAGAATTTTAAAGTTAGTTATAGAATATATTTTTAGTTTTTTATTCTATAAATGTCTATAAAATCGTATTCATTAGGCAAAACACATAAAAATTTAATACAAGGTTGTCCATAAGGTTTTATGATAGCAGTTGGAGAATATTAAAAATACATAATCATGTTTTATTTTTTATAACCATTTAAAGTTCAAATTTTGATAAAATTTATTTAATTAGAAATTTACAAATTCTTTAGTTGTTAAAAAATTATCTAACGTTTAAATTGTATAGCTAAAGATTGAAAATTTAAAAAAAGATTCCGCATAAGTTGTTAATTATGCTGTAAAAAAMATCTAAAAACTATACAAACACRCTTTCTTTATAATATAGTCATTATAAATTCAAATTTAGATGAAATAATCAAGAATAACAATTTTAGTTATATTGTTGTAATTTAAAAACATTATTCGTGGGTACTTAAATTTCTAGAGCATACTTTGTATTCTAATATTAATAGTTAATGTTATTAATACTCWAGTTAATACTTTATAATAAATTGTATACAGGATGTCCTGCGAGGATTTACCCATTGAGATATCTCCYGAAATAATGGAGATATCAATATTCTAATTTTGTAATGAAACTCACAGCGATAAGGACTAAAATTATTTCATATTWTAATGTTTTGGTAAAAAATTTAAAAAATATATTTTTTATTTAATTATTTCAAAAAAAATTAAAGATAGTCATTTT